AGAGCCATAGCCCAGACCAAAGCCTGAGCAAGCCTTGAGTGGTACTGGAGCCTGGAATTGCCTCCTGGTGATACACAGAGACCCATCAACAGCCTGTGCTCTGTCTCTTTATATCCAAATCACATTGATTTCATGACCCATCTCTTTACATAGCTTACAGGAGTCCCTTTGGAGCAGCATACACCTGGCACAACCAGCACAGTAGTGCTTGCTCAGCTAGTGGTTCTGGCCAGTATGAAATACAATAAAGTGATTTCACAATAAAAAAGGGAGGAGAAACCTCCAAACCATGAGGAGATTCTCTTTGCAATGCCATTCTGCTCCTGGCAAAGACCAAACACCAGCTCCATTTCAGCCAGGCCAGCAAAGGGGATTAGATCAGTGTTTTCCTTGTTCCTCCCACAGACACCCTGTCTATAGCTCCTGTATACCTAGTGTTGCTCCTGGCTAAAACCACCCCTTCAGTTCTGGGCCAAGTTTATTGCTATAGGAGGCCTAAATCCTGGGGTTTTGACCAGAGGAATGTAGCCTGTCTGTCTGCAGTGCTCCAGCAGGTAAGATTCACAGTGGCAGGTACACCCCTATCTCCTATACATCCACTTTAATCATGGGTATCCTGAACTCCCTGGTGGCCATCATTCCAAGTGGAAGCACAGGAGGAAGGAATAGCTCCCAGTTGTGTTTTCTGGGTGATCTCTGGGTAATTTACCTTTAATAAAAATTCTTGTCAAACCCAACTATTTCCTATATAGAAGGTATATATACACATACATCCCTACCCTCCTCTCCCTCTAATTTAGAGGGTATGCATAATCTGGGGCTGACACTGAACGAACTGCACCCAGCAGAGCGAGATGCCTTCTGCTCTTTACAACAATCAGGCTTCCCTGGTTCAGTCCCTTTCCCGTGACTGATGACTGGCACTTAAACGAGCACACACAGTGCTTCTGAAAGCATTTTATCCACTTTAATTAAAACCTAACATTTATAGAGCGAGGCAGATGTGCTATACACCAAAAGAAAAGAACAGGCCCTCCTGGGTGGCTGGTGCTGGTCTGCAGTAACAGGCAGACAATCACTGTTAAACTGGAATAAGTACTATTGATTGTTGTCTCTAATAGAGCATATGATTTTAAGGAACTTGCAGCACTGGCCTGTTCAAGCTCACTGTGCTTATTGATTGAGACTACAAAGACTAATCACATGTGAAAACACAAGGTTATTCATCATATACTGGCTGTTCAAAATGAGGATCCAGTACTGCCTGAATGAAATAAAGTACAGGTGCTGCTGGGGAAGGATTTTGTCACCATCCCATGACTACAGACTGGAGAATCCATGTGCTGCTTCAGGCATTATCATCACCAGGCAGAGCTCTTCTGGGAAAAGGAGGGAAAAACAAAAGGGAAAGTCCATGCTTCCCACTAGAAACAGGAGGGAAGGGCAGAAGAGACCGAGATGAGCTCTTAGGCAGAAGCTCTTCCCTGTGAGGGTGCTGAGGCGCTGGCACAGGGTGCCCAGAGAAGCTGTGGCTGCCCCATCCCTGGCAGTGTTCAAGGCCAGGTTGGACACAGGGGCTTGGAGCAAGCTGCTCTAGTGGAAGGGGTCCCTGCCCGTGGCAGGGGTTGGAGCTGGAGGAGCTTTAAGGTCCTTTCCAGCACAAACCAGGCTGGGATTCTGTGTCTTCTGGTGCTTGTGTAGATGTACAACAAAGCACCAGTCTCAGCTAACAGGTTGCTGTGTAGTATTTTATCCAGTTTCAAAGGGACAGAGTTTCCTCTTCAGCACTGAGTCTGGCTGTGGAACTGACTGCAGGCAAACACTGGGAACACAGGCTTCACATTAGGATAAGAGGAAATTTATGGAGCATCACCTCATTTCTTCTATACAGTCTTTTAACTCCCTTTGTCTAGTAGCTACTACCATTATTCTAGCCCAGCCTCCAGAGTCTTCCGTACAACACCACAGTTCATTGGTAACATCTCATTACTTTCTTTGCTGTATCATATTGCATCCATGACCAGGGAAACTGCCCACAGCATCACAGAATTAAGGCTGCTGCTATAGTAGCAACTGGTAGGGAACAGCAAACGAGGGCTGCTGGGCAAGGGAAGAGGAAGCATCCTTACCAAGGAGGACACAGTACCTGCGCAATAGAAGCTCCAGGCTGGCAGTGATCCAAAGCTCTCTAGCCAAGTCCAGAAGGCAAACAGTCAAGGAACCAACTCACAAACCCATCACATATAAGACTGAATGGAGTAAAGGGTTGAGCTTAAGTACCTGTCCTGAGCCAATGGGTGAAAGGCAGTGGCTGGAGAGCCCAGATGGGGCTGCTCATGGCAAATCAGAGCCACATGGAGTACAGGGAGGAGAGTACTACAGTGAGGGAAGACCCTTCATCTGCACAGCCCCATACTTTGCCAGAGTAATGGAGGAGTTATTAAGCAAAATCAGCCCTTAAAGGGACCCCACTCCTGTGCTCCTTGCAATGAGGAGCATCAGTGACCCTTTGTCAGTGACCGTTGCCATCTCTTTCATCAGATCCTCTTTAGTTTTCTCTTTGTCACTGTTTTCTTCCACTTCACTGACAATTTCCCACCACAGCCTCATTGCAGATGCTTTTACTGAAGAGCACCTGCGTGATTTAATGCCTTTCTGGTGCCTATTGAACCAAGCATCCTCCTTAAAGCAGCACTAAATTAGCCTTGCATGTTCCTTGTCACATCATTAGCCATGTTGACGTTTATGCCTTTTTGATGCTATATAGCAAATAAAAGAGCCACTTTGCTGTGCTGGTGCCACAATGCCATAGTGCTAGAGATTCCCTGCTGCAATGTCCTGAAGGGACAACTTGGAGGTGAGCTCCTGCCTGCTGTGGGTTACTGCTTATAGCAACACCAAGAGAAAGAGGTGGTAAGAGTCTCGTGCTTTGGGAAACCAGAAGCTCTGTGGTGCAACTCTGAGGTTGGTAGTTCAATGTGCAACACTACAGCTAATTTGGGGGATGTGTTCCTGATCCATATGACCCAACTCAGGTTCTTGGAAGGCCAGAGGAAGTTCAATGGTGTTTGCAATGATGGTTTTGACAAAAGTACTCCTCTACAACTTGCTGCTGGCTCACAGTCACCCATGTGAGAACAAGGCACACACAGCTCTGGCAGCGTGAAAGGTTTCTTTTTGCCTTTCTGTTTCCAGCATCTCTTGTTATAATCCTTGCAAAGTTCCCTGTCTGCAGCAAAACAGTTCAGAACCTACACGCTTGACATGCTACATCCTCCTGGCCTGTTTGTCTGTGGTTTTAGATGTATCCCAAAGGGATCTAAGTGACCACTTAAATGCTGTAGTTTGTACAAGGAAAGGGAAGGCATATCCTGAGCCAGCAAGGCTATGGACATGACAGGAAGCAAGCAGGAGCAGTGGGAAGCCAAGGTGGGACGGGGCACTCTGCACTTCTATGTCCCTAATGGCTCAGAAAGCCCATCTGTGAGCTGCAGATGGGGAGCAGCCCATCTGAGGCGCCCTTGCAGCTCTAAGAGCTGCTTCTGAGCTGAAGGAGCAAAGGGAACAAGGATACACTCACACAGTGATGGAACCATCCAGCTGCACCAAGAGCTCATTTACACTCAAAGACTCAACAGCCCTCTTGACACATCATCTTCTCCCAGGGAAATCCTGTGAGGGGAAGCAAGAAGGAGCTCAGGTGGTGGGAGGCTCCAAACCCTGATGAGCGTTTACTGGGAGAAGGGAGACAGGCTGGAGGTTATAAGAGGGGAGGGTAGCAGCCAGCTACTCCTAGTAGGAGCATGGTGGCTGTGTCAGCCTTGGGTTTTATCGGCTGGAAGAGTTCATTTTTGAGTGAGGTCTTCTTTAAGGGTAGCATATTTTCAAAGTAGTGAGAAAATGTGGCTAGAGAAGGTGTTCTGCTATCTTCTTACCTTTGCTGGAGCCCCAGCGCAGCACTGTGGTTCCCTTTACAACCCTCCTGTGGGCGCCCAAGGGAAGGGAGAATATCAGGCACCTCCTGCCTTGCTCCCTGCCTGTCAGTTGGCAGCACTTCTCCTTCCTCATCCTTGCAAGTTTTATTGCCAAGTTCCTGTGCAAAGTAAAAAAAGCCTCATTAATTGATGCTGAAAGTGCTCCTCTGTTGATGCTAAAATGTGGCAGCTTTGTAAGGGAGCGCAATGTTCTGTTTGGGCTAATGCCTTGTACGGGTACAAAATGACCCTGCAAGGTGCAGAGCAGGGAGAAATCAGGCCTGGAAAGGAAGGTGAATGGGCTGAGTTCTCCAAGTGTGTCAGTCTCAAAGCTGGGAAACAAGCCCAGACACCCTCACTGTAAGTTTAATATCCAGCTATACATGCTAAGTGTCCTCTGATTTCTCTTACAGAGCTCCAGAGAGCAGATCCAGAAGGACAACTGTGTCCCCTCCGGTTTGCTCTGGTACATCAGCATTGCATGTACTCCGTGGACATACAGAGCTTGGTTTCATGAGGCCTTTGGGGTTGCACTGTTGTGATCCTTTGGGGTCTGGTCCTCAGGCTGATCATCAGATAGCTCTGATGCAGCCAAAGGTGCTGTTGTGGCTTATACCAGGTGAGATCGTCCTACACTTCTTCATGGCTGCAACCGTGTCCTTCTGTCCATCCCGTGCAACAGCATCTGACCCATAAAGCATCAGCTGAGAGCAAATCCTTGTGGAAGAGATCTGGGAGTTATGTTCAGACGTGGTTAACAATTAGAGCAACACTAACCATGAGCTGAGTACCCAGATGCTCTGAAGAAGCCAGGACCTCCTGCTTCTGTGTGTAGCATCTGGGGGGGGTTGCAAACTCTGGTTCTTCAGCTCCAGATATTACAACAGAAACCCATTGAGCTGGGGGATTGCAGGTAACACCACTCTGCAGAGAGCTCTGGGCTCTGCTGCTGAAACCCTTCAGCTGCTTTGCCTGGGGAGATTCTTCTGGGCTGCTGCCCCCAAAACGGGGCTGGACAAGAATTACATCTTCCATTGTTTGTGTTTCCTTTATTATGGAAGTCCCAAAGGTTACAGAAATGGCACCGTTGCATTAAGTCTTGCACTGGAAACGAGGATCTGATTGCTTCCCTGCTGCTTATGCCGTGTAAAACTTGTTTTCCTCTGTCTGTGATGGGCTGTGCTGGAAAGCATAGTGTATAAATGCAGGATTTGTCAGCTAAAGTAGTGCTTACAACGTCCCCCCTTGCTGCATCCCATTACAGCCCTTCTCCCTGTTGTTTGTCTTATTCAGGCTACTATTAACTCAATTGCTTTAGCTGAGGCTCTGCTTTTACAGCACATCATCAAGTCAAAATATAGCAACAGCTGCTTGAGAGGCAGCAAAATTCATCTCCATTTTCTATTAGCTGGAGGCTGGCGGCCCACAGGGGGAAGAAGGTAAAAAGCAATTCATAAATGAAAGCTGGGAAATTAAATGTTGTACCGCAGAGGAAGATTTAGACCACATAAGAATCCATTTGCTGCAGTCGTCCCTGCTGTCATTCCTGATATCCAGCAAGGATGTGATGACTGGAAGGGGCTGGCATGGAGGAGGCAATCTTCATTCAACTGCCCAGGTGAGCAGCTATTCAGGACTTCCTGTGTATTCAGCTGTCTCAATACAGCTTAGGCTGAATGGAGATATTCTTATTCCAGGCTAAATGAGATTTTTTTAATGTCAGCCACTAAATTATCTCATGTAATCTAACTGCTGCCTCCTGCTGCAGCAGTGCTTGGAGAGATGGAATCATTTCCCTCTGTCTTCAGAGCAGTGTGGTGGTGACCTTACCCTGAGGCTCCTTTCAAAGGTGCTCTGTAGCTGCCAGGAGCAGAGATCTCCTGCCCAGCCCAGGGTAGGGCATAGGACAGTCCAGGTGAGGGACTGGGATGTTGGGCTGAGACCTGTTGCTGGCTCTGCCACTGAATGTGGCAGGATCCTGTCCTCACTTAGCTTTGATTTAGCACGTACCAGATTTATTTAGGTGGGCATCTCATTAATAGTATGTAGGGGCAGAAACCAGATGGGATGGGCACCTTTATCTCAGGGTCAGGCTGGTGATGCAGGAATGGTCGCTAACTGCGCCATGGACTGAAGCCAGCTTCCACCTTCAGTGTTTGACTCTTGATGGCAGAGGGAGAGAAGAGGCAGTATTTGGAGCAAGCCTGAGCCTCCTTTTCTCTCCTTCCCACATGGCAGCATTTCCTTCTTCTCTCGGAGCAAGTCACTGAATTGTTCCACGTGCAGCAGCGACTCCTGCAAGCCCTCCGTCCACATGTGCCTCTGCAGGCAGCTCCTCAGGCAGCTCATGCATCAGTGATGCAAGGACCATGGCCACTTTTAGGTGCTGCTATCACAGTCCCTGTTCTCAAAGATTTGCCTGCAGGGATCTCCCCCTTGTGCCAGGGGAGCTCTGCTTTCCTTAGGATACAGGGAATCAGTTAACTGCTTCATGGGTGGCAGCTTTGCTTGGAACAAACCTGCTGGGTTCACGGCTTCCACGGCAAGATAATCCTGCTCTAGAGGAGAATAAATACCTTTAAAATTGTAATCAGAGTCACTGGGGAAATGTGACAGGCTTTAAACAATGACATAACACGCTTGTGTCTGCTGTCTCTGCTAATGAGCATGAATTGAGAGCATTAGAGATCTATCCATGTGCATTAGCGTGTGTGAGTTGAGATCACAGGCATAATTAGTCTCATCTCTGCTGGCAGCCGAGGCACTGACCTGGCTGGTGCAGTCACAAAACATAGAATCCCAGCCTGGTTTGGGTTGGAAGGGACCTTAAAGCTCCTCCAGCTCCAACCCCTGCCACGGGCAGGGACACCTTCCACTAGAGCAGCTTGCTCCAAGCCCCTGTGTCCAACCTGGCCTTGAACACTGCCAGGGATGGGGCAGCCACAGCTCCTCTGGGCACCCTGTGCCAGCGCCTCAGCACCCTCACAGGGAAGAGCTTCTGCCTTATCTCTAACCTGAACTTCCCCTGATTCAGTTTGAACCCATCAGCCCTTGTCCTGTCGCCACAGCCACAGATGAAGAGTCCCTTTCTGCATCCTTGTAGCCCCTTTCAGACACTGGAAGCTGCTCTGAGGTCTCCACGCAGCTTCTCTTCTCCAGGCTGAACAGCCCCAGTGTTCTCAGCCTGTCTCCAAACAGGAGGTTCTCCAGACCCTGATCATCCTCGTGGCCTCCTCTGGGCTTGTTCCAACAGCTCCATGTCCTTCTTATGCTGAGGACACCAGAACTGCACACAATGCTCCAAGTGAGGTCTCACCAGCGCAGAGGGGCAGGATCCCCTCCTTCGACCTGCTGGTCACACTCCTTTTGATGCAGCCCAGCACATGGAGGGGTTCTGGGCTCAGGTGCACACATGCAGGGTCATGTTCCATTTCTCATTGACCAGAACCCTCAGGCCCTCCTCCGCAGGTTGCTCTGTATCACTTCACCCAGCCTGTAGCATGCTCTCCAGTGCTTTGGCATTCCACAGACATCAGCATGACACCGTGCTGCTGTCCATCACCTCTCCAGGGCAGACCAGGCAGTGCCTGCACCTGCCTGTAGAGGGTTTCTCCTATTTGTCTCCTTAGGAGGAATCTAAGTGTGGTTTCTTCTCTGCTGGGGAGCTTCAGAAATGTGATGACAACTCTGAGACAGTTTTTTTCCCCATCTGTTTTCTATTGAGCATTTTTCACTTCAGAAGAACTTTCCGCATTCTGAGCAGCTTTTTCTTTGCTAAAACCTATATTTGTTCTCCCAAATGCTTCATTTCTACAAGAAAAGGGGGTTTGGGGCTGGAGGTGAACAAGTGAAAGCCAGCAGAGGAGGGATCCAGGATTCAAGCTTGTCCTGGCTTCTCTTCCCATCCCTCCATGCTCCTGATTGCTCACTCCTTCCCAGTGAAGGAAGAGCCCCATCAGCAGCGATGTGGCTGCCGGGCGGGAGCTGAGGCAGTGGCTGGCAGCCAGCCCTGCTCCCTGGGCTCCTCTGGCCTCTCTCAGCACCGCCCTGATGCTATGAAATCAATTCTGAACAGGCAAATCAAACGGCTGATGTGATTGATTAGATGCCTTTGCTTGGCTGTGTTTAGTCAATGGCAGTGGGTATTTATTGCATTATATACTACAAATCAATAGTGATTAGTACATCATTAACCTTTGCTTTTGTCTTCTTGCAGTGTTATACTCACAGACAATCCCTCTCCAGCCTGGCAGAGATGGCTGGAGAATATGAGTGTTGATCTTTCAATGAGGAGCATGACCCTGCAGCCCTATTACTACTTTAGGTGTACTTTAAACATGACGTAAATCACCCCTACCAGGAGAGATGCTTGTGGGAAGGTTCACTCACCTCCAGTCTCCCTCAGCAGAAGCTGGTGAGGGCATACAGGCCCTCATATATGTCATAGATCTCATACAGGCTGGGTGCAGATTGGATGGAGCACCAATGAGAAGGACTTGGGACTATTGGTCAGTCAGGAGCTCCCCATGACCCAGCTTCAGTGTGCGCTTGACCCCAGACCCCCCCCCCGTGTGCTGGGCTGCACCCCCAGAGCATGAGCAGCAGCTCAGGGAGGGGATCCTGCCCCTCTGCTGTGCTCTGGGGGGACCCCCCCTGCAGCCCTGATCCAGCTCTGAGGCAGCAGCACAAGAGGGACGTGGAGCTGTTGGAGCGAGGCCAGAGGAGGCCATGGAGATGCTGCGAGGGCTGGAGCAGCTCTGCTCTGGAGCCAGGCTGAGAGAGCTGGGCTGGGGCAGCCTGGAGAAGAGAAGGCTCCTGAAGGGGAGACCTGAGAGCAGCTCCAGTGCCTGAAGGGGCTGCAGGAAAGCTGGAGAGGGGCTTGGGACAAGGGGTGTAGGGACAGGCCAAGGGGAATGGCTTTAACCTGCCAGAGGGGAGACTGAGATGAGCTCTTAGGCAGAAGCTCTTCCCTGGGAGGGTGCTGAGGCGCTGGCACAGGGTGCCCAGAGAAGCTGTGGCTGCCCCATCCCTGGCAGTGTTCAAGGCCAGGTTGGACACAGGGGCTTGGAGCAAGCTGCTCTAGTGGAAGGTGTCCCTGCCTGTGGCAGGGGTTGGAGCTGGAGGAGCTTTAAGGTCCCTTCCAACACAAACCAGGCTGGGATCTCAACCCTGTAACTGTGGCAATGGTTGAGTAAGGAACAAAACTCAGCAGTGCAAAACCTCTGGTGTGGTGAATATGCCTGAGGAAGAAAGGACTGCCCGGTATTCTGGTGGCATTGGAGGTTGTCACAGCAGGAGTGAGCTGAGTTGTTTGTGTTGCACTCACCACAGGACAAGGGACAGTCTCCATTACAATGGTACACACAGAAGGAGATAGGCTCAGTGAGAAGCGCTAAGGAGTGACCCTCCTTTCTCTCCTGGTGGGTTTATTCCTGCACATCAGACCTTGAAGTTGAGTTATCCTGCTTGCTGAGCTGCGCTGTGATACAAACCTGCAGGAACAGCGTGTGCCACTGTGTTCAGGCAGCTGGAATTCCACTGCTGCAGAAAATAATGGGGAGAGAACAGCCCATAAATCCTGCCCAGGCTTCCACAACAGTAGATTTACCTATACTGACTTGAATGAGATAAAGGTCTTCAAATTACATAGCTTCAAATTAGATTAGCTCTGTGTGAGTTTGTCAATCCTCAGTGTGAGTGAAGCCATGGAACTTCTCGCCTGCTGGGAGGCTGAACCTGTGCAAATGAGCTCTGCATTGCTCAGGCCTCTTTGGAAGCTGTCACGTATATAGAGAGCACTTCAGAAAGGGGCTACTTCCCCCAGGTTCATTTAGGTGCTCTTGAGCCACAGGGATTGATGTAGGTGTGTGTGATATGCTGCACTGGCTTAGGTGCCTCACCTGTAGCTCCAAGGGAGGTCAAGGCTCTGAGGTGCAGACACCCAGTATGAGGCAGTCCTTGTCTGAGGGGTAAGTGAAAGCCCTTGACTGCAAGGGGAAATAATGTACCCATGAGAAGGAGAATACAGGAGTGAAGGCACCCACCATGTGCAAGGTAGACCCTGGGGCATGTGTAAAGGCAATGCTAAGGATAGAGTCTGGGTCTCCCCTCTATCAAAGCACCCTACAACATCACATCCTCTTTTGCTGCCCAGCTCATCACTGGGAGAGGGTTAGATTTGCTTGAGTTGATATAAGTAAGTCCAGTCTTGTGGAGTGAGTTACTTGCACCCCTAAGGCTGGCTCCTTCTGCGTGTGTTGCCTGTGCCATTGCTCTGGAGACTTCACCTCTTGCACCTCAGGACCCTCGTGAGCAGGCTCTGTGTCCTGTATACACAGAGCTGAACCACCAAGGTGCCCAAGTTGGAGCCCAGGCAGTGGCAGAGGCTGATCCTCAGCAAGGCTTTGCTCTGCCTGGCTCTAACATCCAGGGCCACTTCGTGCCTTACAGATGATTTGTGCTGGGCATAAAAAAAGAGCCAGTGACACAAGTGGCTTGTTCAGGCATTCAGGAAGGGCTGGAGAGGGGAGGAGGACTGCAGCGTTCACACCCCCTGGCACTGCTGCAGGGTTACGCTGTGCTGTTGGCACGGTGGAGAAATCACTGCAGGCAAACCTGAGGGAAACTTGTTGATGTTGGGTTTTTCTCACCAGAAAACAGAGCTCTATCTAAAGCAAATGCTTTCCTAAAGTGTGGGTTTGTTTTAATCTGAATTGCTTTGGCTTTGGGGTTTAAGACGTGTCAAAGCATTCCAATGGCACTAGAAGTGTTTCTGTTACAACAGGTGAAACTCTTGCTCTCCGATTCCATTAACTTTTTAATCCAGGCAGTATCTAAAGGACTGGTAACATCCTGTGATGTTCACCCTATGGAAACTCCAGTTTGGAGTGAAAATTCTCAGCTTTGATAATCTCTTGCACAATAGAAACCAACCAGTTCTCACCCAGTTGAACCTGTTTCAGGCTGCCTTTGCTCAGTAATGGTCTCGGTGTGGCACTGAGCAATATGAGCATGAAGATTTGTAGATACCCAGATACAGGAGGATTTAAGAGGTGACTGAATTCCCTCCCTCGGCTCCCTGCTGGAACCATGGTCTTAAGTATCTCTTCTGGCTGTTGGCTGAACTTGGTTTGATTAAGCATGGCAGCACCCATAAATTGGAACATTTCTATTGGGAGTGGATTACATTTGTGCTCATAACTCAGGGTTTAGAGAATCACCTTTAAAATAGTGATTTCTCACTGCTCCTTGGGCTGTTCTTTAAGTCCCCCTTCTGCCTGTTCCACCTGGGGCTGAAAAGATGGAGCGTGCAGCTTCCAGAGCAGCAGGGAGCTCGCGTTGCATTCTGCAGGACTCAGCTTTAAGGCAAGACAATGGTGAGGTGGTGCTGGAAGTCACCATACCCAGGGCCTCTGTTAGAAAGCCCTCAGGATGCCTTTTTCCTTGCATTGGCTATTTCTGCAGACCACTCAGCCGATTCTTGCCGATGCCGAGGGAAACGTGTCTGGAGCCAGGCTGAGAGCACTGGGGCTGGTCAGCCTGGAGAAGAGAAGCTGCATGGAGACCTCAGAGCAGCTTCCAGTGTCTGACAGGGGCTACAAGGATGATGGAGAGGGACTCTTCATCAGGGCCTGGAGGGACAGGCCAAGGGGAATGGCTTTAACCTGCCAGAGGGGAGACTGAGATGAGCTCTTAGGCAGAAGCTCTTCCCTGTGAGGGTGCTGAGGCACTGGCACAGGGTGCCCAGAGAAGCTGTGGCTGCCCCATCCCTGGCAGTGTTCAAGGCCAGGTTGGACACAGGGGCTTGGAGCAAGCTGCTCTAGTGGAAGGTGTTGGTGGCAGGGGTTGGAGCTGGAGGAGCTTTAAGGTCCCTTCCAACACAAACCAGGCTGGGATTCAAACCAGACCAGCCAGCCAGAGGCAGAGGATAGGGAGCCAGTCTGCTAAATAAGGATTTAGCCCAGAGGCAGCCCTGTGTGCCAGCCGTCTCCTAATGCTCTCTTAAGGAACCTGGCAGCACAAGCTGCTTCCTCTTCCTCACAGTTCAGCTCAGTCCTGCAGCTCTGCAGCAAGACGTTTCCAACCAGAATCACATTTTGTTGTCTTCTTGGTACAGTGCCTTTTAATTAGGAGCACAGCTGCTCTGGAAACATGGAGCTCACTTTTCAAAGAACACTCTGGAACGTGATTACAATGGATTAAAGCAGAAAGGTTGAGCAATTTATTCATGTGGTGCTTAGAATGCAGTGGATTACCTCGTGCTGTAAAAATGATTTAGGAGAAAGAAGGAAAAACACCTTTTTGGCTCTTGCTGGCCTTAAGGCTGCCAGAGGGGAGACTGAGATGAGCTCTTAGGCAGAAACTTTTCCCTGTGAGGGTACTGAGGCGCTGGCACAGGGTGCCCAGAGAAGCTGTGGCTGCCCCATCCCTGGCAGTGTTCAAGGCCAGGTTCCCCATGTCAGTGTTGTGTGTGGTTCTGCTGGGTAGCATTGGATTCAACTTGTCTTAGGCTTGGGAAACTGGCTTTGTGATGATTCCTGGTTGAAATACCAGGGACCCAGAGGCAGCAGTGGGCAGCTCTGGTCATTGAATACCTGCTGTGGCTGTGGTTTGAGCCATGCTGTGCTCTGCTGGAGCAGGGAGAACTGGATGTGTTGCTCCAGCCTGGAGCTGGTGTGGAGCAGGGGCAGCAATTGGTGCTGTTAACACACTTGGTGCCTTCTCGTAGGATAAAAAGGGTTTGGAGCTGCTCACATACGGCGCTTGTGGGAGCAGTAGTGCTTTGGAGGAGTCTTTGAGCAGGATGCTAAACATAAAGATTGTGTTTGAGTGCAATTCAAAGCCAGGCAGTGCCTTGCTTGCCCTTATTTTGTTTGGCTGATGTAGGCGTGTTTTTGTTTTTACTCACTTTTCTCTCCTATATTGTCCCTTTTTCCGCAGCAATGTTGACGGTTCCATCTGCTTATTTATCACCCCCACTTAGAACCTGCATTTCAATTAGCAATCTGCTTTGTTTAGCTTCTTCTTAGACAAGGCATTGAAAGCTTTAGTACATAAAGCTACTTGTAATGCAGCTGTTCCAGCTCTTCCATCATATCCACGAACAGAATGAATTCTATTGCTATCAAGATTTACCTGATAAATTGGGTTTAATCCTCCTGTGCTGTAGCTGATGGAAGGCACTTCAGCAACGACAGAAGGGTTTCAAATGACTGCGATGGAAAATGGTCTTTGCTCCAGAGATGTAAAAGAAACTAAAACCTCGTGTGGTAGGAAATAATTCATCCAGCAATGAGAACAGCAGCCCCTGGGTTCCTGTGCTGATTTCTAATCCCGATCTTTCCCTTTTGGGTGGAATGTCACAGGTTTAAGGAGGTGATCCTGCCCCTCTACTCTGCTCTCGTGAGACCTCACCTGGAGTATTGGGTGCAGTTGTGGTGTCCTCAACATAAAAAGGACATGGAGCTGTTGGAACAAGTCCAGAGGAGGCCACGAGGATGATCAGGGGACTGGAGCACCTCCTGTATGAAGATAAGCTGAGAAAGTTGGGGCTGTTCAGCCTGGAGAAGAGAAGGCTGTGTGGAGACCTCATAGCAGCCTTCCAATATCTGAAGGGGGCCTATAGGGATGCTGGGGAGGGACTCTCCAGTAGGGACTGTAGTGACCCGACAAGGGGTGATGGGTGAAAACTTAAACAGGGGAAGTTTAGATTGGATATAAGGAGGAAGTTCTTTACTGTGAGGGTGATGAGGCACTGGAATGGGTTGCCCAGGGAAGCTGTGAATGCTCCATGCCTGGCAGTGTTCAAGACCAGGTTGGATAAAGCCTTGGGTGCCATGGTTTAGTGTGAGGTGTCCCTGCCCACGGCAGGGGGGCTGGAACTGGATGATCTTAAGGTCCTTTCCAACCCAAACTGTTCTGTGATTCTAGGTTAGGGGTGTGGAAGCAGGATGGAGGGGGGCCCGGCATACGGCAGGTCCCAGGCAGGAATGTGGTCCCCTGAACCCCACTGGTCCCTGCTGGGTTTGATCACTGGCTCTAGCTCCGCCGGATCCCGCACAGGAAGGGCTTCTCCGGGCTGCGTTTGCTGAGTGAAGGGGGTGAATTGGCAGGGAGTTGGGGTTGGACTCCAAGGCCGACATCGTGAACTGCTTCCTCACAGTCGGTATCGCGCTTACCTGTTGATTCGGGGTTCAAACGAAGCCTGCGCTGAAGCTGTCCTTGACCATAAGGGGCTCACCGGGGCCATGAGCTGCGCGCAGGGCTCAGCCCGGGGGGAGCCGCGTTAATAACGGGGAGCGCTAATGAGGGGCGGAGCCGCGTTAATAAGCGGGAGCGCTAATGAGGGGCGGGGCCGCGTTAATGAGCGGGAGCGCTAATGAGGGGCGGGGCCTGGGGGGGGTGCGGTCCCGGGGCCGCTCTGTATAACCCGTCTCCTGGCAACGGCGGGGACGTCACTTCCTGGGGAGCCGCCGCGAGGTGCGGGACAGCGCGCGGGCAGGTGGAGGAGCGCGTTCGGCGCCGCTCGGGTCCCGCTCGGGTCCTCTCGGTTCTGGGCCGATCCTGCTCGGGTCCCGCTCGGGTCCTCTCGGTTCGGGGCTGATCCCGTTCGAGTCTGCTCGGGTCCCGCTCGGGTCCCGCCGCCATGGAGCTGGACGGTGTCTCCGTGCACTCTTCCTCCTCCTCCTCGGGCTCCCTGGGCTCGGCGGCGGGGCCGGCGCCTCGCCCGCTCTCGACCAACGTGCGGCGGCTGCACCAGGCGCTGACGGCGCTGCTGAGCGAAGCGGAGCGGGAGCGCTTCATCCTCTGCCTCAATGCCTACCACGGCCGCCGCAACGTCTGCGACCTGGTGCGCTCCCTCCGAGCCCTCCTCGACGGGCCCCGCCGCCGGCAGCTCCTGCCGCTGCTCCGGCTCGTCCTGCCGCGCTCCGACCAGCTCCTCTTCGACCAGTACACGGCCGAGGGGCCCTACCTGCCGCCCCTCGTCCCGTCGCCGCCGGTGGTCCCCGGCGAGTTGCGCCAGGTCACCCTGCGGCGGAGCAAAGCCCACGAGGGTCTGGGCTTCAGCATCCGCGGTGGAGCCGAGCACGGCGTCGGGATCTACGTGTCCCTGGTGGAACCGGGCTCCTTGGCCGAGCGGGAGGGGCTGCGCGTCGGTGACCAGATCCTGGGTGTCAACGGCAGGTCCCTGGACAGGGTGACCCACGCCGAGGCGGTCAAGGTAAGCCGGCTCCGGGATGGGCTCTGGCGGCCGTGTCCGCTTCACCCCCGCGGTGAGCCCCGTCCCGCTCTGCTCCCTGCCGGGCGCCCCGTCCAGCTTCGCCCCATCCGGCCTCGGTGCCCGCTCTCCCGCCCCGTCCCATCCCGGCTCTGCTCTCCGGGACGCGGCGGTGGAACTTGGGGTACCCGGTTCGCATCGTGCCGGAGGGATCGGGCCCGTCCCGCCGGGGAACGGGGCAGCAGCAGCGCAGCGAGCCCAGCCGGTGGAGGTACCGGTGTGTGCGGGCGGTAACGCGCTGCCGGGGCCGGCCGGGCACCGTCTGCAGCTCGTCCTCTCCGAGCCAAGAGGTTCTCCTCTGTCACAGCATCTCTGGAACGCAGCGGTGCTGCTTGCGTTTTCCGTTCAGTCCGGGAGGCTTATGGAAGTTGGCAACCAGCGTGATCCAGGTCCTAAGGCGGGTGCTCGGGCTGCTAGACCGTGTTTTCTGCTCCAAAAGGTGGGCAAACTGAGGCAAGGAGGTGCGGAGCAATCTCCCCAGGACCGCATAGTGCCCGAAGCAGGAGCAGATCCTAGGATCCCCTTCCAATTCTATCGGGGAGAGAGAGAACAGTTACACAACCGAGGTGCTCTTCCCACTGCGCAGCGTTTCCCTGTGTCCCTGTTGCTTACATTGCATCAGGGTGCTATGGATGAAAGCTTTCCTGTGAGGCTAGGTGTGGGAGCGCTGTTAACTGTGGGATTTTCCCCTGGAACTCAGTGTTTTGAGCCAAAGTTCATGTCCGAGTGACCCATCCCATTCTCCCATTCCCAGAGGTCATCTTGTGCCTGGTGCGCTCAGCTCAGGGCATTCGCATGGCACAGCGGCACCAGGCACAAACCTGTTAAGCTGAAGAATCAACTTGTAGGGCAGCAGTTTGTAAGGCAGAGCATGGTGGGCCAGGGTCTGGGCTGAGCAGAGTTTTCCAGCTGTTCGTGCTTTAATTTTCCCCTAATAAGCTAAAGCACTGCTGTTTGCAGCCTGCTTCGTGTGGTGCATTCCTCTGACAGCGCATTCATCTTGCACGGCTTTGATCAGCATCTTCATAGCCAGCCTGTGTGGTCCCTGCCCTGGCTTTAAACCTGCACCACAGGCAAGGGCATGTCTTCCAGGCTGGAAGCGAGTCGCTGCTAATCCTGGGACCAGAGAAAGGATTTCATAGAATCCCAGCGTGGTTTGGGTTGGAAAGGACCTTAAAGCTCCTCCAGTTCCAACCCCCTGCCATGGGCAGGTACACCTTCCACTAGAGCAGTTTGCTCCAAGCCCCTGGTCCAACCTGGCCCGATTTGTAGGAATTCCTTTGGTTTTTCCTTCCTAATGCTAACACAAGAGCAGTGTGAGAGCTTTTGGAAGTTTGTCTGCAATTTTGTGTCCTGAAGATTGCAAAAAAAAAAAAAACACCCCAAACTGCTGTATTTTGGCTGTGGTGTTGGGATGGGTAAAAATGAGGTGTCAGGAGTGCTCTCGTCTGTTAAATGACTTCATCTCTAATTCATCCCAGTCTGCTGGGTAATTCACATAACTTTGTTTGTTCTCTATTACAATATACATGATGTCTTTTAGACGCTATTAATACTGAGTGAAACTAAGGGCTTCCTGCACAGAAATCATTCCTTTAGGATGTGGGTTGCCAAGGTTTTGCTCTGTGACATTGCAGGAAAGAAGGAAAGAGAAGCTTGGAAATGGTCTGCTTGTGAGCAGAACTTGTTTAAATGACAGCTCTGTCACTCACCCAGTTATGCTGGCATCTTGGAGAGCTCCTGCACTCTTGTTACCTACGGGAAGGGTTTATGACCCATGTAGTGGTGGGAGAAACACTTTCCTTGGGAAGAGTCGCAGTGATTTACAGGGCAGTTCTGATAATTCCTCCCTAGGGTTTAGAATAAAGCTGGCGTCCTTGTGTGCTGCACTGAGGAGTGGATTGCATTCAGTGATGCTAAAGGGCAGTCTTTGAAAGATTTCCCTGGGGTTGAGAACCAAATACCTCGGCCTAATGATCTGGACATCCTGCAGGGTGTCAGATCTGCAGGGAGGAGAGGTGGTGATGCGCAGGGCAGCTTGACCCCAGGTTCTCTGCGTCCCCTTCGAACCTGGGAGCTCAGGCTCTGTGTGTTAACAGCTCCACAAAGGCCTCTGGCTGTGGTCTGGTCTCCTCGAGCGGGACAAGCTCCACCATGTCCTGACACCCTCACTGAGTTCTGTTGGTCTGCTCTGTAGTGGATCGATGGAGAGAGAAACAGGATGAAAGCAGCTGGGTTTGGCCCTGGAATTTCCATGTACTCTGTATTTTGGTTCAAATGAGGGGGGAAAAAAAAGGTGAGCAGAGGCTTTCTTAATATAAAACCGTGGCTGCATAGCTCCTAAGTGCTGTCTGCTTGCTTTAGATGGGGAGATGTGAATTCTCCCTCGGTCAGAAGCTGTCTGATTAAGGCGCAGCTCCCATTTCTGTGTGTGGAGGATGCTCTGGCTCTCCATCTGTCTGAGCAGGAGCATGTTCCTGTGCTGCACTTCCATCTTGCCTGTCCTGCAGCAAGAAGCTGTCTGTCCAGGGCAGCATTGTTATTCATAATATGCAGAACGTGCTGTTGTGGAGGAGTTGTCAGAGCTTGCTCTTCAGGGCAACTGCAGTAGATGGGGAAGGCTTTGGCTTAGGCTGCTCCTGGCTGCGTCGCACTGTTGTGAGCACCACAAACTTGCTGAACTGGAGATCAACTTTGTGCCTGTCAGGGTGCTCAGCTGCAGGCATGAGGCAGCTCTGCAGATGGAGCATGAATGAATGCATCGTCTTGGCTTGTTTGTGTGATCTAAGAGCATTCACACTAGGTATTGCGTTCATTGTACAAGTCGTGGTAGCTCACTTCCTGCCTTCTCATGCCTGGCCATGCAGCAGTACCCCAGTACTGCCCTCAAGGAGGAGAGAGGCACTAACTGTGGAGCAGGAGCAATTTCTGTCTCTTCAGGCATTGCTCGGAGCTGTGATGTACCAAAGGTGGAATCCTGGCACGAGACGGCAACGGCCACAACACTGTACAAAGATGCAGGTCGGGAGCTGCATCCCGTCCCAGCCAACAGCTGATGTGTGCTTTGTCACCTCTGCAGTGGGGCTTGTGGATGCTTTAGTGTAAATAAGTTAAAAAGTGGAATTCTGCCTTAAATAAGAAGATTACCTAAGCACTCCAAACCCATTCACTTAATGACCAGCTTCTTAACCTTTATGTGAGCAGTGCAGTTTTATGCCTTGCCTGCTTCGTGCTCGCTGTTTCATCCAAATCAAAATGAAATGACTCCATTACAATTATAGCTCTATCATTCCAGCATTCGAGAGTGCACTTCAGTAATAGATCACTCTAATTTGAATTATGGGGTAAGTGGAGAAGTTTGTATTGGCTGTCATATATTTTAGAGCTTGCTTGGCTTTTGGCAGCCTTTCTACGTAGCACAGGGTTGATACTGCAGCAGTTCTGCTGAAAGTTTGACTTGATAAGCTGTAAAAGTAGCTAAATCAAGGTGTTTGTGTGTTTAGACCATCAGAACACTACCCAGGGAGGTATTTGTCCTCTGCTGTGGGGTTCGCATTAAGCTCACACTCCCTTTCCCCCGACTTTTGTTGCTTTGCAATAGGGTTTTATGTCCTTTACATCATTTAGGGCGGAAGGGGAGAAGAGAAAGTGTTAAAGTATCATGATGGATGGATCATTCCTGCTTGAGGATTTGGCTTCATGAGCAGCACCAGCCTCAAAAGAGCTGCACTGACTCCATCATTTGCCCTGCTGTGTCTTTCTGTGCTCCAGCAGGGCAGATCTGGATGAGCTTGATCAAAATCCCCTCAAGTAGACTCATTTGTGTGCACTGGGCATTGAGCATGGTTCTTTTCATCTTGCTGTTCATCTGTGGTAGCTTGGTGAAGTGGGTTGATTCTGAAGGACATGAGGGGGGTTGAGCCCACCCTGTGGGGCTCTTCAGAGTGGCTTTGGAGAGAAGCTGCAGGGTTTGTGCATGGGGGGAAGCTTGCGATGAAGTTGGATGGGGCTTGGAGCAAGCTGCTCTAGAGGAAGGTGCCCCTGCCTGTGGCAGGGGTTGGGACTGGATGAGCTTTAAGGTCCTTGCTCAGAGGGTTTCACCCCTTCCAAACTAGCCTTGCCCTCTCCTGCTCGAAGTTGGCATTGAAAAATAATGAAAAGGAGATTAAAATTGGGTTTTTATTATCTTTTATTCATGTGGACTTTGATGGTGGCAAACAAGGTGATCCCTTCCAGGAAGGTGATATTCCATATGCTGTTGAAAGAGCTCCAGCTGCTTGTGGTACTGCTAAAAGACCAGTGAGAAATGACACAAGAGATGTGCAGCCTTGAGCCTTGGAGGTGTATTTAGAGCGCTTTTACTTTCCGGACAGCTTAAAGAAGGCAAATCTCATTTCATTGTTTCGTGTGATGCCCGATAAATTGTCATCATCTGAGACAACTGCTTTTCTGTAGTCAGTAATCACCACTGCTCTGTACAGGCATTGGAACAGCCTGTAGGAATGAATGCAGCTTGGTTTGGTTGGGTTTTAACCCTTCCAAGTACTTGGAATTGTGGAACATCACACACAGTCATGGGATAAAGGAGGAGTGGAAGCAATGCATCAGTCCCTGGATTCCGTAAGGATACCAGGCTTGTTCCTTTAAATGCCTGCTTGCTTGTGTCTATATATTTAGAAATCACTGATCCGGAGGCTAAAAACCTGTCCCCTTTCCAAGGGATCTCAGGTGGCTGGAGCATGGAAAACAAGGATGTGACCAGCATCTCCCTCAGTAGATACAGTGGTAATCTACTCCTTGGTCTCTGGGTCTGCTTAGAAAACAAACCCCCACAAAAAAGGCTCTGCGGCTTTGGATGCAGGTGCTGTGCAATGCCATGCATGATGCTCTGCCTTTCTGTCCTGCAGACAGTTCCCATTTTCAGTTCTGTAGCCAGCTGAGCT